GTCCTCATTTTACCCACCTCGGAAGGATGGAAGGCTGAGTCAACCCTGAGCCGGTGAGATTTGAACTGCTGAACTGCTGAGCTGCTGATCTAGCAGTCAGCTGAAGTGGCCTGCAGTACTGCACTCTACCCACTGCACCACCTCGGCTCTTTTACTTTAGGGTAGCTGAAGTAAAGAATTGCCAAACTATCAAACAAGAACAGGTTGGGTGGATACACTTGGTGGGAACATGGCAAAGTTCAATTTAAGTGCTATACATCAAAAACAAGTCTGTATCCCATAGAATCTAAATGTAGACTTTTTACCAGGTTTGTCAAGCAAAAATGCTGAACCATTAAGGAGCTAAAGGGCCCATCAAACTATTGGATTAATGAGCATACTATTGTGGCCCACCAGTAGCCAGTAGAGCTGGCAGCAGATTCGGACAGTGAGGAAGTTGGGGAAGAACATGGGCCAGTTCTGGAGTCTGGGGAAGACTTTGATGAGGGCTCTGTGTTGGAGGCAGAAAGGGGGCCAGAGCCATATGCCAGTTATCAGCTGCCTTCAGAGTCAGATATCAATGAGGCAGATGAACAGCTGGAGCCTGTTCTCAGTGTACATGCGCAGATAAAGGGAACAGCTAAAGAACAGGGGTCAACTTGGGAGGAAAAAAGCCACAGGTTGATGATGAATGGGCCCTCCCAGAGGAAATAAAAGGAGTGAAAGGGGAGCAGAGTTTGCAGGAGACAATTAGTTCACTTAATTGATTTGTGACTCTCCAAGACTGCTTGCAAAGTTTTGCAGATATCGGGCTGTCAGCTCTCCAAATCTGATAAGGTCTGTGACTGTAAATTCTTCCTTGAAAGGCTTTGATGGATGTGAATGAGCAGAATTCACAATAAATTAATAAAAGGGTTTTTTGTTGGGACAAGGAGTTTGCTTCATGCTTTTGGGAAGCCAACATCAGAAGACATACTTTGAATTTTCACAGCATTTCATGAGTCTTCACACAAAATAGTTTCCAAAGTGGTGATATGGTATTATCACAAGCAACCTATTAATC